GTGAAAATAAACACAAGTGACGGCCTTTAAAATAATTGTTCACACCAGATTATAGAGAGTGTCTTTGCTCAGTCTAACATCATGACAGAACTTTAACTCCAAACACCTTAATAGAAAAACTTCCTCATTAAAGAGGAGAGAAAGCAAACAACCGAGCGTGGTAAGTCTGCTCAAGAGTTTGTTTGTGTGTCTTAGCATGTGTATGTGTGTGAGCACGTGCTTATGGGAGTTCCTGTGTGTAAGAGGCTTAAGTGTGCTCGTGTAAACAACAAACGTGCGACGCTGGAGAGAGTGTGTGTGGCCGACGTGCTCAGAGATCGTTAAGGATCATGCTCTCCTTTGTACAGTAACAGGAAACATCTTCTTTGCAGAGTTAGGACGACTAGACGATCGCCGAACTGCAAAATCAGCAGGCTGCTCGGGGTGATCAAGTCAAGTAAAAACCAGGCCTGATGCAGATCTGTGATGTGTATAGGCCAGTTTAAAAAGACCACCAACAATAACCCGGACATTAATGAACTTAATGAAAAAACTATAAGGGCGTTCACATTTGCAGGAAACTCCTGAAAAACTCCTGATATCTCCAGGAGGAGCTTCATGTGTGAAAGCAAACAGACACTTTATTCACTCAGACTTCACTCTGAGTTTCTCCTGCCAGACCACTTGTATTTTCTCCGCAGCAGGCTAGAGTGAGCTGATGTGAGAACGCTGCAGGATATAATCAGGAGAATTCACCTCGAGCCAATAGGGGGGGAGAGTGACATTTATATCCTGTGACTGGAGTCAGTGCATTGACTGTAAGTAGGCAACCACTTCAATCGATGCATGTAATAAAACAGCTTACTGAGACCTGCTCATGTTTTTTTCGTCAGTATGTTTTTCTCTGCTCTTTAGTTCAGATTGTGATTCTGTTGAACTACACGTAGCATCAATATAAAGGCAAATATTCTCATTATAGCATCGTATAGAGGACTCAGTTGCTCCATCCTGGTGCGTTCATGACTAAGTGTAAACTTTAATAATGCAGACAAGTTGAATTGTCTGCAGCTTCCTGTAGAAGATAAAAACCTAAATCTGCCCTGCAGCCTTTAAACAGGATGTGCGAGACACTTTGTGGTGTTTGATTTCTTCCTAGGCTCCCTCCAGCTCGCTCCATCACCTCAGCCGCCTCTGTGACCCTCCCCTCCAACACCCGGCCCTATCTGCTGCTCACAACAGGAAATCATGACTCCTTAAAACCATCCTGGACTAATCCTGGCGAGAAACCAAACAATGCATAACCGACTTGAAACATAAGCATTTTCTAAAGCTCTTCATCCATCATAAACTTTATTTCTTCTTCCACAGGTACATATCAGGAGCTCGCTTCTCTGACTTTAGACACATTAACGTTCTTTTACTTTTGTATGAAAGTCATGCTTTAGACGGCAAAATCTCAAATCCAAGCAGGCAAATTTCACCCGACAAGTCCAGATAAACGTCTTACTTCGAGATATGAAACATCCAAAAATAAAAAGCCTGAATTGTTTATAATTAGTAGAAATATCTGCCAACAGGTGAAGCTAGTTTTTGGTCTTGAAATGAGATCTCTAGGTCTAAACTAGTTTGCTACGCTGTAGGTTTGCGTTGTGTTATACATACACAAAGCCAACTTTTGTAGCCTCAACAATGTTACAACACATTGATACGATGCTCTGTGATTGGGCCGCTGGGTAGCATTGTCCTGCATTAACAACATTTCCGGTATCGCCGATACTTTCAAAATTCTGCAGAAGGAAGAACGCTACAAGCCGGCATCATCGACTGCTGCTCAGTACTTATCAGCTCAGACTCCTACATCCTGTTTCAGTCGCCATGGTTTCCTGTTCACAAACTACCAGAGAATGTGGCGCATCCAGAAAACTGATATAAGAAACATAATCAGTACATCAAAAAACACACTCACACTCAGTCGTGTGTGTGGGTGCTGAATCCTCAACAAATCGTATCAAGAATACTCCAGGAGAGAACTCCAAAAACTTCTGTGTCCTCCTTTTATTGCAGCTCAGCCCGTCTTCACTGAGGTAAAGAAATACAGGTATCTCAAATCTCACCTTCTTGTCCTGGCTGTGTCAAACACACACGCTACATATTCTTCAGACAAAACAGGAAAACAGACTTTAACATCACTAAACTTCTTTCCTCATTATCAACACATATTTCCTTCGTTCCTTATTTCAGATCAAGCATGTTTGAGTGAATTAAATAAAATATTCAGGTCACATAATCAGGAATCTTTTAAGTGACGACGATGACAGTTTCAGAAACTGTACACACGATCAAAGATGCTGACATGGACGTATCGTATATGCACAGAGGAGTTTTTAAGAACTTCCTTCTGGTCGATTACAGTAAAGCCAAAAGGAAAAGGCTTCAGGTGATTTTTAATGATGCATCTTTAATCATACTCAGGGTACCAAGGTGGACGAGTGAAAGCAATGTGTCATGTGTTGGTGAGGAGATATGTGTCTGAAACTGAGACAGAAAGTGAAGCATTACGACACATTTTGGAGTTTAATAATAATGATTTAAGAAGCACTACTGGAGCTGCTGTGAGCTGGGTGAAATTAGGAGCACGGTTGTGTATTAGGGTGTGTTGATCCCTGTGATGTTGTGACCGCTGGAGCAGTGAAAATGAATCCAGCAGCAGCAGAGAGAGGTCTTCAGCAGACGTGTGGAGCTGAGAGGACTCTTATCCACAGCCTCCCGATCCCCACTATCAGGTGATCACAGTGGGGTTCGCCTGATAGGGGGATAGGGGGTTCGCCTGATAGCACCCAGCCTTGTTGATAACAGTAACCCAGCTCCCGGACCACTCTGGACCATGCTTAGGTCGTTAGCTACCTCATTAGTCCTCTGGCTACTGGCCTATCACCGGCCCGTCACCAGCCAAGAGGCACCTTACCAGCTACGATCCCCCCGCCATCACTACTGTCTGCAGCCAACAGGAGACTCATCACAGGCTGCGGTCTGCACGAGCCAGTGACTCCAACTGGCAAATTATAACGAGAGGAAAGTTATCTTCCCAACAAACTGATCAAAAAACAAAAAAACAATGAAAGCTGTTTGAGCCTCATAAAGATGATGTCAAACTATTTAAAGGGAGAGGAAGAGTTCAACCCCTCAATTCCACCAGAAGCATGTTCGGTCCACCTGATTACTTGAGTCAATGTGTGTGCGTCAACTGGCTCCGCTGCACTCAGTCCGGAGTCCTTCGCAGCAGATATGCAAGGAATTCTTATCTGCAGGATGCCGGAGCATCAATTCACCACAGAGCACATCTGGTTAATTTTCAAAATAAAACACTCCGTTTTGACGATTCAGAACAATGACCTCATGTGTTTGTTGATGTGTTTATACTTGTTTATACCACATACTTTGGATTATCTTGCACTGTCCCCGAGTGTAATCTATAAATACCAGCTGGCTGTGCTGCTCCTTGCTGTGCAGCCAGTGGGTGTTGACGTACGAGGGTGCATGGAGCAGTGCAGACATGCAATGCACACGTATCTGGTGGAAGTTCTGGGTACGTGTTTGTTTCACATCTCCAGAAAACTTTTGCTGATATGATTGTTTGTTTATGTTGCAAACCAAAATTTCATCCAGGAGGAAAGACGTGCCATGGGGAAAGTTTCTTTCTAAGTAAAATGTACAGTGAGGTGTTAATCGAGCAGTTCCTTATTCTCATCATGAGGTAGTCCCGTGAGTGCATCCACACGTCTGACTTTAGGATATTTTTGATATTCTCTGTAACAGAACCAAAAGGCTGAGAGCAGGCAGCACTAAATTAAGAATACAAAGCCACATCCAGCGCTTAATTCTGTAGGAAGACAAAGTCTCAGCTGGCACACAGTGACACAGTATGATGTCAGCTTACACTCCTCTGAGGGAAACAAAATTAACCACTAAGAACAATTCAACATGAGGATATGTGGCTGCTAATCCAAATCATAACCCCCCCCCCAAAAAATGATCTCAGAAAAATAATCTGTTTTTTAGGCTGTGTGTTAAACTGAGTGTTTGCATGGTGTTATGACTGTGAGTCATAAGTGTGTATTGTATTGTGTGTTTATTTGTATTTGTGCCGTTTCCTTATTTGTGTCTGTTTGTTTTTTTCTGCTACGCTGCAGGTACCCGCCATTTATTGGACCAAGGCTGAAGGGAGCTGCGGAAGCTGCAACACTGAGATTGTGTTCATTGTCAGACTGACTGTTAATATTGTATTATTCAAATTTCTTTGAGCAGTCAGTTTAGGTTGTAGAGGAGAGAAGCCTTTTCTTATGATTCAACCTGTTTCCTGTTTTTCAGTTAGAGAGGTCTGTAATGTAGAGGAGCAGTATGTAACTCTGACGCCTAGTGTTTAAGATGGGTACTGCAGTCCAGATTCATAACATTGCAGAGAGCTGTCTCCCCCCCACCCCCTCCTCTCTAGAGTAGATGCTCACACAGGTCACCATGTGGTGGACACTGAAGCTTCAGTGTTTATCCAGCTCTGCATCGGTCTGTAAAACTTTCTGTGTTCTAACCTCTCTCCATTTTTCAAAAGCATCTCCAATATTGATCCTAGTTTGAGCACGTTTCTGCTCGTGGAGCTTATTAGAAACATGCAGAGGCTTTTTAGGTCGGGTACAATCACTTCTATCTGAACCACTTCTCTTGCCCGCTTCCATCGTCCTATCTCTCCATTAAAGGCACAAAAAAGCCCAAAAAAGCCCAAAAATAAATCTTTAAAAAAAAAAAGGACGTGCAATGACCGTACTGCCGATCTGTTATAAGGGTGAAAATAAGATGAGAATGATTTTTGGGAAAGCAGTGGGCACCAACTTGACTGTTTAGCAGCTACATTTGCAGCTCTATCGATTATTTTTGTTGTAAAACATAAAAAACAAGAAATAGAACATTTTATTGGCTCTACAGCGGACAGAAACACGACAGTACAAGCGTTAAATTTAACGTCTTACCTCGTTCCTCCAAAGAGGATGATTCGATCTCCAACCATACAACAGCACTGCCGTCTCCTAGGACACGGACCTTTCCCCTTTGGTTCTACTTTATTCCAGGAGAAGGCTTCTGTGAAGTGAACACAAGAACACAACGAGGTTGAGATGATGGAACAAGAAGACAGAATAAGACATGAACGCTGCAGGTTTCATCCTCTCTTTAACAGCTCACCTTTAGAACAACAACCCCTTTGGAATACAGGTATTCAAACACTGACTTAAAGTTGTGTAAACCTTCAGTTTATTCAGCCTCATGCTTTCTTTAACCACAAACAAAAGGCCCAGGACACACAAAGACAAAACTCAACCTTCATTTGAACACAAAACATCTCATGTCAGGAATAGAAATAAATCTCTGCCGCTCTGCTGAAGAGCACAAAGAGTGACGATGTTGAAGCTCTCTCAGCTGTTCCATATAAGGATGAAAAGTGTTGTCTCACACGCTCTCAGTCGACAGCATCATGGCATCTCTATGGCAACAGGCCATTCAGGCTTTGTTGGATTAATAAGGGCTGTGATTAAGGTGCTGCCTGCCCTCTAGTGGACAACAAAGCTCAGGTTCAAATGGTTAAAATCAGACATCAGGTTCTCGAGGATAAAACTCTGTAGCTGGAAAAGTGAGGATCCAAAGTGCTATTTTGTCTGCTGTAACATAACACAGAACTTTACTAATCCTGAATGAATTTCTTGATCCAGATTTCTCCAAAATAAAAATACAAAGTGACACACATGAGCATCAAATGTTTTTAAAATTTGGGGACCTTATGGAACGACTTTGTTTAAATGCTCAGCCGGAGACTCTCCTCCTGCTGCAGGCCGTTCTCTTTTTGTTTCTGCATTCATATACTCCTCTGATGGTCCCAGTGTCCGAGTTGGGAAGGTGATCTTCCGACTTCAGTGTGTTCACGTTCAGTTCAGAAAGTCTGACTGTTGTAATGGATGCTAGGAAGACGATGTGTGTAAGTTCTCTGTTACGAGTTATATTTAAGCAAAAAGTTGATGCTCCATACATGAATTTATCAAAAGTATCTACCCACCCTCCCAATTGTTCCGATTGAGCAGGCATTCATGTACTCGTTTTAACGTTTTTTTTGTTTGTTGTTGTTTTGATTGAGTGCCCCCTGGTGGTGGTAATTACATACTGTGCCTTTAAGAAAAGCACTTAAACTGACCTGAGAATCAATTTGCCAACATTAATATGAGCAGATTAAAGCTGCAGATATTGAATACTGTCTGTGTGTGTTTGTGGCACAAAGTCTGAGAGTGTGTTTTTCTCACTGGGTACAGAAGACCGTCTGAATGACTGAGCACACGAGCGAGCAGGTAAGTGGGTCAACATGAGCAAACAGCCAGCGCTGCTTTCTGTCAGCAGGTAAGATCAAAAACAAAACGTGTACGCCTGCAAAGACACGTCGTCACCTCTGCACAGTTAAAGTATCATAACGATTATTCACGTTTTACCTGGGTTGAACTTCCACAGGTCGTTGAAGTGCATGTCCAGACGGGCGTTATATCCTCCAAATATGTACAGCTCCCCGTTGTAGGAAACTAAACACAGAATGGAAACAAAAGCAAGTGTTTTTATGGTCCATCGTGCAGATTCATAAACTCTGCAGCACAGAAAATTAAACATCATAAAGCACTTAAATTAGCCAGATTTGGCAGAAAATGAAATCTTGTTCACATTAAATGTAAAATACTGTTTATACTTCCACAAAACAAACAATTAAAACAAACGAAGCTTGAGAATGAAACAGAGAAGACGTCCCTCTGGAAATAATAATTATAATAATCTTATTTTCGAGGCGCTGGTAGTCCAGTGGTTAGTAGAATCTGGCACTACTACCATCTGATGTCACTGACGCCCAGCCACCACCTTTAGACTGAGTCATCCCCACAACCACCGCCGTCCTCATTCATGCACAAGCTGCTCCGACCTCCACCTCAGCGGTGAGAAAGTGTTGACAACAGTAACATGAGGAACACAAAGGAGAAATCCTTCCTGCATATTATCCGATACACTCTTTTGTAAAGCGTCTCGAGATAACACTTGTGATGAATTGGCTCTACACAAATAATGATGGCTTGATTGTCTGCGCGTGCCATGTACGGAGGCTATAGTACTCAAAGCGAGCAGCCCGGGTTCTAGTCCGACCTGTGGCTGCTTTCCTCTATGTCATATCTCTCTCTCTCTCTTGGTTTCTCAAGCTGCTGTCTAACCTTTAAGAAAGGCATAAAAAGGCGCAGGTAGCCTAGTGGTTAGTGTGCATGCCCCATGTACCAAATCTCTCTCTCTCTCTCTCTCTCTCTCTATGTGCATTGATCTTAAGCTGCATCTTCATCAAAAGTACAGGTTGAATGATCTTATTCAAGAATATTTCAGATGATTTAGTCAAACTGTTCACCCAGAGCAAAAAGGTAGCCTAAAGTTGTGCTGATGACATCATCGTTCATAACATCTGATCGCTTGTGTTTGTGTCTTACAGGCTGAATGGCTCCTGCGTCCCTCGGGCAGCGGCTGTGCTGACGGTGTGCTCAGCCAGCAGTTGGTCTCCGTGTCGAACACTTTGATCTTGTTGCAGTAGATCTCGTTGTTGGAGTGGAAGGGGCCAAAGCGGTCTGCTCGCCCTCCAAACACAAACATCTTCGTCCCGATGATGGTGGCCGAGTGGAAGTCTCTCCAGCGTGCAGGATTACCCTGGAAGAAGACCAGTCGATGATGTTTTTTTTCACCCAGCAGAGGGATGAAACATACAGGCGTCAAGTTGCTTCCTCTCATCATCAAGTAGATTTCACAGAGAGAAAGGAGGTCTAACTCCTCAGCATCTCTGAAATCTCAATGTGACCAATTTAACTTGATCTTGATGCAGGAAAAGATGAGACTTCAGTACCAGCAACTTTATGTAAACAGTGCCATCTAGTGGACTAAGTCATCCACTGCAACGGTGCTCTGAAGTAGAACCATGTAAGGCCTATGAAACATCATGTACAGTACAATGAACAGACTTATGAGGGAACAATCAGATTTAAAAGCAGGGTTGGTAATTTCCTCCAGATCCACTTTTTCAGTTTTTGGTTGAAATTATCTTTAGGTCCTGACAGAAATTAATAACTCATGTTCTCTGAAAAGGAACAAAGAAAATCCATCATCTGTATCAGTTGTAATCCTGTAAAAACTTCGACCAATGTCTGATACGAGATACCAATCTGATGAACCAATCAGGCGCCTCCCTGTCTCCCTGCTCGTTCTCTACCTCTTGTGTACTCTAGCTCACACTCAAAGTGCGTCACCGATGACGGAGTTTATACTGTGAGTTTACTTACTGCTGAATGAGACACGAGATGACGTAGTTTCTACACAATGTAAGAGATGAGCTGAGGTCCAATTCTGGAGCAATGGCGCATGTAAGTGAGGGGGCGTGGCTTTAGAGGGAGCACAGAGGGGAGGGGGGGAGTGTAGACGGAGCATTGAGGGAATGCTACTTTCAAAATCATGCTAGTTTTGGAAAATTACCAACCCTACCTTTAAATTAAGCTGCCTGTTGTAGAAATGAAGACCTTTAGATGAACCTCTGAATATGTCTGTAGATCATCTGTGCTCTTTTAAAGTTCGACTTGATCATAATATTTGAGAGCATGTACTTTGAAAAGTAAAAGTAGAGCAGGTGGTTTTTGTTTTCATGAAGGATTACCAGTCAGAGAACATGTAGAAACAAATGTATTGTTCAGTCACATACTCGACTAAATCTATAAGCACCACACTGTAATCCCTTCGACGACGAATTGTTCGAGTCCAGAAGTAAAACCAGGTAGTGTAAACTTAGCCCCCCTTTCCCCCGCCCCCCTTGTTGCCCGAGGGAGAGAGACTGCTGCCTCTGTCGAAAATATACTTAACAAGAATTTATCACATGAGCAGGTTGGCTTCATTCAAACACACATGGCATCTCCCAAAAGGGGAGGGTATATAATCCTCAGTGAGTCTGTTTGTATTTGGCGACCTCCCAGCGAGCTGCATTACATTGCTCTGCTTTCTGTATCCAGCCAACACGACCAACCCGGTGCTTAGGAAGCAGCTCAGCCAACCAGAGCAAAGACTGACAGGTTGTTGATTTCAAACATTGTAACCGAGCTTGTTGCCAGTATGGTTTTTACAATGCAAGAATTTCAAACTTCATACCAAAGTCACAGGCTCCTAATATTTGGTTATTTCTTGATTTTAGTGACCAAGACATGCAGGTAAACTTCTGATCCCTGTCTTGTTTGCATAAATACATTGGCAACATTTCAGTATTGAAACTCTCTCTCTTTCTCTCACAGTGATTTGGGTTGAAAATATGGCAGATCTGAAAAAAATTTTAAGCTTTGATACTTTTTGATACGATTATTTTTCATTAAAGGTCACATATGATGCTAAAACCACTTCACCATGTTCCTCTATCTCTAATATGTGTCTCTAGTTTTTCAGAAAATGTGTGCTCAAACAGGCCGTTTGGAGATTTTCCCTTCATGACATCACAAAGGGCAGTAACCCAGGTGGGTGACACTCCCACAGCTAGGTGTTTGTTCTGCCCTCTGAGTCTGCCTTCTCACTGTAAACAATAGAACATGGAGCGAGATGCCCTCCATCTTGCTCCACACAAGCCCTTTTCTCATTATAGCATCCTATGTGACGAAGCAACCTTTGTTGCTCGTCCATCACTTCAACATTGTTCTATTTTACGTTGTCTTGCCTCAGGAGATCCCTCGCCCCCCCTCCCGTCTAACTGGGATAGTCTCATGCTTTGAGATGCATATGTGAGCAACAAGATCAGGAGAATATCCGAAGCAGTCCTACTGAAATTATCTAGATATTTTCAGGAGTGTAGATGTGAAAACAGCTTGAGTTTCTTTGTCAGAGTTCTTTGTGTCCATCTTTATTTAAACATTTATACTAAACGCGTTACAAGGATTCTTTGTACAGGATGAACTAAAAACAGCTGCTGGTTAAACTCACCCTGGCATTAATTAATGACCAAACCATGGTGTTGGTGTCCAGCTTGTGGATGTCATTGGAGAAGCAGTCGGCCTACAAAACAGCAGAGGAGATTAATTCAATCACTTTCCCATGTTTCAGTGAGCTGGCCTCAAAGTGTTGAGTGATAAAAACTCACCAGCTGCTCGTATCCTCCAAATATATACATCGCTTTGCCCAGGATGCAGGCAGAGTGTCCGTCCCTCGCACCCGGAAGTGTCCCCGAAATCTTCGGTGTGAACCATCTGTGGGTGTCTGTGAAGCAGGAAGGTTTATATTAACTCTTGAGCGCCCGAACCTGTCGGTGTCAACCTCACACTCGAGACATGTGCAGAAAACCATCTCATATAAAATCAGGTGTTAAGACTCCCTGACAGACAAACTAATGTATCCTCCAGGTGCATCTCAAACAAAATAGACTGAAACTATGATGTTAAGGTTAGCGGGAGTTAGATGCAGTTTTTACTTACTGATATCAAAGGCGTAGAGCACATTGCAGGCCCCTTCTGTGTCGTTACGACCACCCCAGAGGTAGATTATATCATCCAGCAGCACAGCTGTGTGGCCGTAACGCATATACGGCACTTCACGGGCACGTTCATTTACCCCCATCCTCACTGGAGGCAACTTCATCCAGCGCAAAGACACTGAAACACAATCCAATTGAGAATGTTTTGTTATTGTTATTTTTACAAGATTAATTTTTTTTGCTGCCTTTGTAGAGGGACAGGACGGTGGATAGAAGGTGAAATCAGAGCGAGAGAGGGGATTATTTACAGTGATGGTAACGACATGCATCAAAGGAGCCACGGGTCAGATTCCGACCCGGACTGCCCGCTTTAGGACTGAAGCCTCTGTACATGGGGCGCACAAACTAACCACTCGGCCACCAGCGGCCAGTGAAGAAATGTACTTTTGATCATATAGAAGGATTGGTTCCATCTCGTCTGAACGTCATCACAGAGACGATTTGTGGACACTTCTTACAGTTCAGTTTGAATGTTTGAATCAAAGCCAGAGTGCCCAACGATCTTTGTTGATCTGTGACATGGATCTGCACCATCATACCGATATGTACATTACGTCAATATCGGACCTGATACCGATATTAGATCGGATCCATCCCATCTCTAATTTTAACTTCACTTTTCAAGAGGCAAGTTCAAGATAGGTTTGAAAAGATAAAGCGGCAACAACATTTAGGGCGATCACCCACCAGGCAATCCCTACCACACCCAAGCACTTGTGACCCCCTCAAAGTCCAGTTCGTTTGATGAGCTTGAGTTCTCCGATCCACTTCCTTGGCCCTGGCATGCTTCGAAGAGGTGTGCTTTGGCATGGTACAGTTCATGCACGAGCAGAAGCACGATAACGTTGACAGTAGAGTTGGGACGACACGTCGTCCCAAACAACTACATTGTCCCACACTCCAGTCCAGTGGTGGCAGTAATGCACCAGAAAGCTAGTCGCCAATCGCTATAGACGCTAAAACGCTAAAACGGAAGAAGAAGAATTCACACAACAACAACAGCGGCATGCAATAACAGCAGCGCGAGCACCGGGGAGCAACTCATAGCCTCAAAGCACACGGTCATTAAATTCAGCTGGCGTACCACACGAGTACGACAGCAATGAACAGACATTTGGAGTGAAAACACCCGGGAGCTGTGTGTCAGGATGGCAGCAAAACACCGTAAATTGTGTTTACTTTCCCACCCTGGAATGTTCGATTATCAAGCATTGATACAGAATGTGTTTTAGAAGTAAACGTTACGTGTAACACTGTTGATTTGTTGTCTATAAATACATCGCTACTAACGTTAAGCATCGTTAGCTGTCCGGACATGTTTCTAATCTGTTTGCTTATGCCGGACGGGAGTGCGCCTTTAAGAGTAACATTTACAATACATTCATTTTAGAGTGAAAATAAAGATAAGTAGTGACATCAGGCTAAGCTCCTAAAGCAGCCTGGCACACCTGCAGTTTGTTTAACCTCCTTTAGAGTTTAACAAGCTCTAACATGTCAAAGACCATAAGGACGGAATCCAACTTTCTGGTTTTCTAAGGTCACGTTTTACTCAATGAAGCTCAAATGAGCTCCCTGCTCTCGTGCACGAGCTGCAGATTAACCTTTAACAGGATTATTTTATCAGCATGGACGATTATAAAACAAGATTATGGATTATTTGCATGAAGTAAACACTGCTTATTCAGTGCCCGGTTTAATTTCTGCTGGTTAAAGTCTGTTGTTTCCTCTTTTGCGAAACTAGAAATACTTTGAGAGATTTTGTATATATTCCTGTTTAAAATAACGGCTGAATAAAACATAAATAAACTAATTATGAAGGCTGAAAATGTGTGTGCACATTACATTTACTTTCAGTGTTTCCCCTACCATTATATTAGGACAGCCCCCCCCCCCCCGAAGGTCAAGTTAAAAAAAATAAAACATTTTAGAACACGACAGCTGTCATTAAAAGTAACGCATGAACATCAATATTCCAAGTGTTTGTGTCAGCGTGTGTCGGCGTGTGTCGGCGTGTCCCCCCCCCCCCCAAAACTGTAAACCTAGTGGAAACACTGACTTTAGTAGGTTATTGGATACGTGTTTTTACTAACACCTGTTCAGTTTTGTACATTTTTATGTCTGCTCAATGCTGCTTTATATGTAGCCTGTCTGCCTCATTACTGTCGTGATATTTCTATTTGTAGCTTTTAGCGATGTCTGAATCTGTTTTTTTTATAAAATCTGGCCAGTGACAACAGAGGTAAATTTGCCTTTTGGCTAACTCTGGAATATTTACAGAAATGTTTATTAATATGCAATGTCCCTGTAAAAAAAAAAAAATAAAATCTAATCAAATCGTAAAGAAGTGAAGTGTTTCAGAATGTAGAAGAGTAAAGAAAAAGCAGAAAATCTGAGAAAAGAATCAAAGGAGGGCGCACTCAAACTAGGCAATCTGTACCATCCTGAAGCACGCTTCACCCCTAAAGTCCAGTTCATTGGACTGGTGTGAGTGCTCCGATCCATGATCAAGAACGGTATCCTTCTTTGACCCTATCATGCAGGAGCAGAAGCACATGAACACAACATGGACATGAAGTATAATCGATCACCGCCTTCATTATGGAGAAATCCTGGAGTGTTCTGGCTGTATCTGACTAAAATGACTCAAAATAAGACACAAAGTCAATAAAGTAGCTGTCATGTTCTCTGTGTTGTTCTACAATGTTTAGACGCAGACTCGACCGATGCATTCCTTAATTTTTTTGAGTCCGCCTGTCTTGTAAACTAAGCCTGCTTCAGAATCACGTAAAGCTGTGCATGTGTTGTATCAAGACGTTATATACAAGAGGTAACCATGCTCAGGCCTGGTTAGTCCAGGAGCAGAGTGACCGCAGGCCAGCGGGGGAATGAGGAGGGGAGGGGCCAAATGTGCTTCAGCACGGTTCGGGACAACTGGGGCGAGTGTGAGTGCACCCTAAGAGACAGCAGACTGAGCTATAAAATAAGACATCAAAGAGAGGAAGTACAAAGAAAGTGATGAAGTCAGTGAAACAATGGTTAGAGGTGTTTATGTATTTCCATCACAATCAGTCAGAGAGGCAGCTTTATCAAGGTTTGGATACCAAAGATCTCCTCATGGTTAAGAAACAGCAGGCAGGCTCGAGATACTTTAGGAAGTTATAAAACCATAAAGCAGGTGGCTGCCAACACGGAGGAAAAACAATCATTTAAATAGGTTACAGTTTTATAAAAGTTACAGCAGAGAATGTAAAGAAGACAGCTGTGTTTGTGACAGTGAGAAAATATCACAAACCACCAACAGAAAGTCGAAGCCAGCTGTGATGAGAAACTGTTAAAGTGAAGGTGCAACAACCTCTCAAATAACTGTTCACCTCATCCCTCCTTCATTTGAAAAGAAAATTTATGAATTCTTTACAACATCAAAGTTTAGAATCACTTTACATAAATATATAAACCACAGCTGCAGTACTGATGTAAATTTGAGACCTTTCACGGTCAAGTCAGAGTCCTCCTGAGACTTGAACTTTATCTTAGTGTATTTTTTTATTTACTGTGGGTGTTTTCAGGTCATAAAAAATGAAAAATCCTGATCAACCTGGTGCCCATAACTGTTGCAAGCAATATTAGAAAGAGCTGAAAACAGTAGAATTTCTTGTACAAAAACAAAATCTTTCCACACTTACATATATCCAGCACCCACCTGTGTTGAAGACATGCACATCAATCTGTCGCAGCGTCTCGTAGTCCTCCCCGGAGCAGTAGCCCCCAAAGGAGTACACCTTGTGTCCCACCGCCACAGCAGCATGGTTGACTCTCCGCGGCCCTCCTTCTAGGTGCACCGACCAGCGCAACATTCCACGCGCAAGCACCTCTGCGACCTCCAGTCCTTAGACCATCACTTTGTCGCCCGCTTGGATCCCATCAAGCCAACACCATCGAAACCTGCGATGAACAATGAGAGGAGAAACACTCTGCTTAGGGGAGGCAGTGGGGCAAACTAGGAGGGGCAATCGAGGAACACACAAAGGGGAACTATTTGTCCTCTAGGGGTAAGAGTTACTCTGCTGCTGCTGCTGACAGGCTCAAAAGCCCCGGCCTTATCTGCACCAGGAGTATTTTAAGGAGTGATTAGACCTACTACACCTACCACTCCCCTTTCTTTCTGTTCACTCTCCTCTCTGTACTCTATAAATATAGAATCATATAAATAAATCTGCAGTCTTTTGGGACACAAACTATCAATAAAAAAAATACACTATCACTTGAACTATAGTAAACTTGCTTTAGGTAAGTGTTATAAAGCAAGTGTTTCCCAGTCTATTGAAAAGAGAGCTGAGACCAAGCGGCAACCTCAAGTGTTGATAGATGAATCCAATGCTTAAGTGTAAAATCCTGCAGTTCCTCGAGTGTCCACTAGAGGCTGGCTGCAGATGCACAGGAAGTCACATGAACCCTTTTCACACATATGGAAATCTCCTGAAAAACTCCGGAGATTTCCAGGAGGAGCTGTATGTGTGAACGCAACAGCCGAATTTTTTACTGCGATATTACCCGGAGTTTATCCTGCCAGACCCCTACTATTTTTTTCTGCAGATAATCCGGAGGAGCTGATGTGAGTATGCAGCAGGATATTCTCCGGAGATTTCAATTTCAGCCAATGAAAAGAGAATGATGTTTATATAGTGACTGGCTAAAGTGTCTGCACGCGACCACTACGATCTCCGTGCACGTAATTAAATGTCTGCATTATGTTTTCTGTTCGTCAGTATGTTGTTCTCCACTCTTTTGTGGATGTTATCATTCCATTGGATTACGCATAGCATTGATTGGGGGGGTTTGATTTGATGAAGGGTAAGAGTTATTCACAATATGGCGTGTAGCTGACCTGATTGACAGGCAGGTGTTGCGCAGCTCTCAGCCTGTTGTTAGGTCACCTCAAAAAATAATAGCCCTATTCAGACTACTGTTTCAAGCCGCGATATTCACGCCCCTGTGACGTTTCGCCCTCAATCAGAAAGTCGCTGAGATATAATGGGGGGAAGAAGTGACCCTGTACCCTCTGCTACCCCTCAGCTGCGCCAGCGGGGAAGCACAGCACTGTGTGTGTGTGCATGTCTGACTAATGTGTGTGCTGTGCTCCTGCAAAGTCACAATGTGAATTCACAGACTGGGACACCGGTATGAATGTACACAGACATGTCAAGGCAGGTTTTAGTTTGATAGTTTGAATGGTTTAAGGAAAATCATTTGGAGACTTATGTCGCCCACATAGGACAAACATGGATTGCTGTGTCTCAGGAGGTTAACCTATATTTGAAGTTGAGTTAGCATTTTTTGATTGATGTGCAAATTCAAAAACCATTTGATGGAAATGATGCACACCAAAGGACCTCCTCTGTGAAAAGCTCTGCAGCTCTTAGCTGAACGGCAGCTTGCACTTTAACATCATTTCAGCAGCCGGTGTGGTGGAAACTTCATGTCAAAAAAAGAATTCAGTCTGAATAGGCACCTCTCAAAACCGTCTCAGAGGACGGTCGGAGGAAAAGCGTCAGGAATTCTCTGTGTGCTGCTCGAAGCATAACTAGTCTACTTCATGAAAACATACCTTGAAAAGAAAAGTATGATGCCGAGCTAAAGCATCAGGAAACACAACAGATAGGGCTTTCTGTCAGAACACTTTCTGGAGGTTATGTGAGCCCTCTATGTCTCTGTATTTATTGCCAATATATTCACAACAACTGCTTCCAGCTTCATAAGAAAAGTATATGAAAAACAGCTCGTTAAGATTTACTTCACAGATGCAGAAAAAGTCTGCAACTTTAAAAAAAAAGTTAAGCTAACCCTACACACCCCTGCTTATTCTGTCTCAATGACTCACGGTCTCACTGACCTCCAACCTTCGTTTCGCTCTTATAAATAAACCCCCAGAAGACCACTTCACATAGACCTTTCTATTTCAAGCCCAAGCATTTCTTAAGCAACAGGCCAATGTGAGTCTAAGTTCTTCAGAATCCTGATAGCTGTTTTGTTGTGCAAAAAGAGAAAAACAACAATGACCGTGAGTGACCTTAACTCTAACACAGTGCAGGCTGTGCTCATTCAACAGGTATGTAAAGCTGTCTCGGAGCATATCAGCAACAACAGTCATGTTGTCAACACGTTCGATACTTGACTAAAAATGGTTCAAGCTCCATGTTATTAATGCTCAAGTCTTTAATGGTAGCTTTTTCCCCAAATAAATAAATAAATATGGACAAAAGCAAAAGCTGCTCGATCTTCAATTCTGGGCATACGTACATGTGTGACTGTGTCTGCAGAGACCCTGTCCTCTGACTGGATTTTCTCGTTTTGGTTTGTTTTGGTTGACTCGGGGCGTTTTTGGCAGGGAGCTGGTGTGTTTCCTCCAACCAATGACAGCGCAGCAGGTGAGTTTGGGAGTGGAAACAATAGACTGGATGCGATTCACTATTTATTAATTTTAATAATTTGAAGGGTCTCCACATTTCATTACATTTATCTTCAGAGCCTCGCAGTGTGCTTCTCATTTCTTCACACTTTAGGTGAATCAGAAACCCTCTTATCCAATAACAACTGAGAACAATTTCTAAGTTGAAGGCTGCTGGAAAGTGCAGTAACGTCTCTCTGATGTTCAGCTCTTTATTCAAACATTTCCATTACATTGTTAAAGCTGCCATGTAAGGTCAAGACTTCGGTAGTCATAGAACACTTTGATATGATACTTGGAATGAAAATCAAATTATTTATACACCAGGGATGCACCGATGACTCAGTTCATCATCAGTATGATGTCGATATCAGCTCTCTCACCATTATTTGCCAATGTTTATTTGCTGAGCCAAATCAATCTAATGCTGACATCCCTTACGCCTAACTACTGATTCAGAGAGTTTACTTTTTATTGGGCAGATGAAGTGACCTGTTGGACAAACGCTGACTTGTTTTCATTGTCAAGCATGAGAGAAAATGTTGCATAGTGTGAGACTGACACCCAACAGCCAACATCGGAATTGGTAATCAGCTAAAGTGTTATTTAAAACATCTGTATCTGTGTCGACCCTGATTTTCCCAAGCGGCGCCTGTCTAATTCATACCTGGATCGACAACAAAAACAGATGTTTTATGCATCCGATAGTGGGTGATTTCTTGTTTCAATTATCAAAAATGGCAGGCAAACATTGCATTCTGTCATTTTCCATGCAAAAATGTTGCCAACGTATTTGTGCAATTTAGACAGTGTGCAGGTGTTTGTGATGGATGGATTAATTCCTCTCAGACGCACCTGTATCATGAAATAGATGTAGTTATTCAAAGACCTCTCTGTGTAATAAATCATTCAAATAATGGAGTTTGTGTAGATTTAAAAAGTGGTATCGATATTTTTTCAAGTATAGACATTTGTTTTTACAACTAAGACCCCACCTGTGACAAAGTGGCTCCACAAAGTTGAAATACTGGAACAACTTGAATTAATTAATTCCTTATTTATGCAACAGTACACACGTTTCTGGTAACTTCATCTCTCAATGAATCACACCACAACTTTCTCACACACAGTATTTGATCCTCTCTGAGTGGTAACATCTGTGAGGGGTTTGAAGCATCTGAGCATCTTCTACATCTTGAGAGGAGGATGTTGTTTATGACAGATGACTGTCACAGTCTGATACTCCTTTAACATAGAGGAACATCCCTGTAAAAGACTCCACAGGTCTCTGTTATGACCCCACATATTGTTGATTAATGAAGGTAATCTGAACCTGGTGACATTAAGCTGCAGCATTACTTCACTCCAGTCAACGCCTCAGACAGCAGTTAGCCGACGTTAGCTCTCCAAACAGGAATAACACACTCCTGACAGGACCTGTACACAGTGCCAGCTTCAACAACAACCGTATAACACTAAGACGTTATGAATGTGTCTGTCTGATAAACAACTGAGCAGGAGGAGGAGCTGCTGCTAGCTGTGCTAAAGCTAACCTGTAGGCTACCTGACTTAGCTGTTAGCACGCTAACGTAAACTAAACAGAAAACAGGCGGATAAGCTAACAGCTAACAGCTAACAGCACTCTGACAGAGCTCCGGGCTGTGCTCCTATCACACATTCATACAAACACAAGAATAATAAACTGTAGCTACCGTCAGGTCCGCTCGGTTGTGGTTCTGTGGTTCAGGCAGCGCTTCCACCGGGAGCCTCCACCGACTCCCTCGTGACGTGCCGGGAGGAGAAGCGCCAGCGCCCCCTGTCGGCTGAGTTCACCGTGGAGAAAACACAGAGTCATGTTCACACTGTATGATCCAAAGTGTTTTATAAACTGTGGTGATGCATGTGTAGATTTATTTTAGATAACATTATTTGTAATTTTAACTTTCTTTTTGGCCGTTTACGTTTGAATTACGAAGTACGGGAGAGGATTAGGGACAACTAATGAAATACATAATGAGGGGAGGAAGATTGTTTTTGTTTCCATTTTAGCACTTCGAGAAAAAAGTCGAAATGTCGGGAATGAAGTCCAAATATTGGGGAAAAAGTGGAGAAGTGGAGATTAAAGTTAAAACACTATTTTTTTAAAACCATTGCGAGAATAAATATGACATGTTGGAATTAAAGTTAAATATATTGTTATTATATGTGTTTATATTACAAATTTTGTAAATAAAGTCAAAATGTCAATTTGAAATATCGAGAATAAAGTTAAAATATCAATTTAAAGAATAAAAGTAGAAATACAAAAAAAAAGTCAAGTTGTCGAAAAAGTCGAACTGTTGAGATTACAGCTGAACTACGAGATAGCCTATAGAAAATATTTCAAATGACAAGGATAAAGTTTAAATAAAATTTTGAGAATATATACGACATGTTGAGAAAAAAGCTCAAATTTAGAGAAAAAAAAAGTCAAAATATTAATAATTAAGTTGAGATACCAATTTGTGAAATTTCGACTCGATTTTTGACATTTTAATTCAACTTTCTTGCCTGTCATTCCGACTTTTTTCTGGAAGTGCTTAATGTAAAAAAATATCTCTCCTCTCATTATTAAATTCTTATGCCAGCTCTAATCCATTTCAGTATCAATGTGAAGTTGAAATTAATATTTTATTTTAAATCTTTTTATATTTCTAGCAAAGTTTGACATTCATAAATGTAAATTTACCAAAATAAAAGCCCACGTTCTTACAAAAAAAATCAAATGATAACTTCTGACAAAAACATAAAAGTTAATCAAACTGTGAATCTGGCTCTTAAATTAAAGTATGTATTTAAACTATTTTCTTAATGTAACTATCTATATATTCCTATTTTATTTTGTATTTATGTCTGAGGAACATGTTTGTACTTCTATCTTTAACTTGTATCCTTACACTGTTTATTTACCAAAGGTGTACATTTCTACATTTTAAATAAAGTTTATTGAAGAAAACTGAGTTACCTTAATTAAACTAAAATGTTATATTTACTATTCAAACTGTCAGGTTAGAAACCAGGTTCAGACGTTTTCATAGGGGATTTTTTAAATTCCTTTAAAAAAAGTGACCTTCCTGTTTATAAGCCCGCGAACAGGATTTACCTGTTTCACAGCATCTTTTGACCCCTTCCCCCCTCCACTGAAACCCTCCGTGTTTTGTTGTGTAATAGAAACTGTCCCACTGCTGCAATATCATTAGTATCACCCTTTAACACTAGTTACCAAATTGTCATGGATGTTTGTCTTGCTTTTAACCTCCTCCCCTCCCCTACACACACATGCACCACACACACTTGAAGAAACACAACAACAGAATAAATACCAAACTAGAGGTTGTCAAAAGGTGTCTGCTAGAGGAACGCATTCCTGAAAAGTTAGGATGTAATCATTAAACAGTTGGGCTCATTTTCGTGAGGTATGACGTTTTACAGTATTTCCATCAAATCAGAGGGCATAGGTAGGGCAGAGACAGGGTATAAGTAACAAAATAAAACAGGAAATGACACAAAAACAAAACATGGCCTGAGGTAACCTCACCTTGTCGGCAGTAGCTCAGTCTGTAGGGGCTGGGGTTGGGAACCGGACGGTCACCAGTTCAGTTCAAGGTGTATCTCCATTATCCATTATCTCCATAGGATCCTGGTTCTGCGTGTGTGTGCATTTCAGCCTCTGTGTGTGCAGCATGTTCAACAACAGAGTTAAACTGAACTTCCCCTCACAGTGTCCGGTGTTTATATCCTTGTGTCAGGTTAAGGCTTTTGATTTTTTAATCTAATGAGAACGCCTTTTTATTCTTTACAGCTGTAGCCTACTGTATTAACCAACTTGACCATTTCTGTTATACACAATTACATATTCATAGCAGTAGAGGGCGCTGCCATGCATGTTTTGACTTGCTCATGAGGTCAGCAGGCTGCACACACAAAGACACACACAGTCCTGCATGTTTGAAACCATGATCCTCACTCTGGTTTTACTTTTTTTTTTTTTACATTTGGCTCTGATTCTCTGTGTGTTCGCTGCGTACACGGCAGTCATCCAAAAGGACCCACAGACAATGGCGAGATCCTGAGCAGCTTCTCCTGGTGATCTAAGTGTTTTATTACCGAGTTGTTTAAAATGTCTTCAGGGTTGAATACACATACTGACACAGACTGACCAAGTGGGTCTGCAGGAAGACCACTAAACAAACCCCTGTTCAACTCCAGAGGGAGGTTGTGGTCAAACTGTGGAGTTCCTGGTTATGAACTGTGTTTTTTTTAGATAAATAAAGGCCTTCATCTTTGCAATATGTCTGTCATTACATAAGAATGTGTTTGTGGGCAGCTCGCCGGGCTCTGAGAACAAAACAGTCGTCATCCAGGGTTCATATGGGCACGATGCTCAGATCCTACTGTGATGGCGCCGTCGATGAATGTGAACAACTCATGAGGAATCCCATGTAACGTGTTTAAATCAAGAGGCAACCAAGAGACAGAGAAACAAAGCCAACGCAAAAGTGAAAAATAACTGCAGTTCCTCCAGTGTCCACTAGAGTCTGTCTCCTGCAGTGAGTCAGACTCCATAGAGCTCCATGTTAAAATGTACAACTTTACAGCTGCAGTTCCTCCAGTGTCCACTAGAGTCTGTCTCCTGCAGTGAGTCAGTCTCCATAGAGCTCTATGTTAAAATAAACATGTTTACAGTCTGGTATAAAAACAGTTTGGGTCTCTAGAGCTCATTTCTCTCTTCAACTGTACAGGCTGAATGTTTATACAACTCACCTGTTTACATTATATTAAGTCTTAAAGTGATGTAGAATTAGGGGGCGTGGCCTCTTTGAGTGACAGGTTGGAAGTTGCAAGCTGTCTGCTAGATGTCTCCTCAGCTAATTAAGTCCCTGACCTTTAACCTCTGGGTCGTGTTTGTGCTGTTGGAGTCTTTTGGAGATTTGTTCATGTAAATATCAGACTAATAATCTGTCTCTCTCTGTGAGCTTTATCAGACTAACAGACCGTCCAACAAGTCTGAGCTCCACTTTTAACAACCAGTCACATAAGGAGTTCATTTTATTTACATGTTAGCAACAATTAGCAGCTAATCTGAGTCTGTGAGAACTATACTGTACCTGGCTAGTTAGCTCCTTGGATTTATCTGTGGTGGCCTGTGCAGGGGAGTCAGGATGTTTGTTTGTGTTTCCCTGCAGAGAAGACAGCGGGCTGTAGTGATGAGAGTCCTGCTTGTTTAAGTTACCTGGTTCATGTAATTCACCTGAGTGAACAGCACGTCCACTACGTTCCACGAGCTCTCTGAGCTTCTTAAGTCCTTCTAAAAAATCCAGGCAGCTACCAACACAAATAGATTCAGGCTATGTAGGAAACACGATGTGAGATCAGTAACAGATTTTTATTCTGTTGAGGTTTGATAATTTTTGTAGAAGCTTCTCTCCTGTACCTCCTGACTCCAAAATAAGGTCAAAAAATCAAACATGAAACTTGAGAAAAGGCAGACAACAAAAAGTAGTGCATGACCACATCCATTATTTATACAGGCTTGGATTAATTGGGACAGTTTCACATCTCCACACTGTTAATGTATCACTCACAGGAGTTGTGTTTTGTGTGACCATGTCAGCTCAGCTGAAGTGAAAGTAGATCCTTGTAGAAGGATTATGTTGAGGAGCTGTGCATCAGCTGTCATGGATCTGCTCGTTTCTCTGCTCAGGTCTGGTCCACTCAGGAGGGGCTGTGATTGATTCCCCGTGTGTCAGCATACCAACACCAGGCCAGCTGCTTGTCGGGCACAATGGACAGATTGTGCCTGCGCTGCCCAAACGACAGCTGTCCGTGGCTGCCCTGCAGAACTCTGATAGGTGATTACAGACCACAGATTTCATAGCTTTCAGTCATGTGACCGGCGCGGAGGCCTGTAGGTCAAAAAGAGCTGAGGAAAGAAGAAGCTGCCGCGCAGCTTTTGAACTTACCTTCTCTTCAAGTCAATGTATGTTTACGTCACCTGACAAACACAGAACACTATTTCAATCTGTCCTCAGCAGCTACAGACCCAACTCATGAACTCCTCTGACCTTAATGATATTCATGATGATGAGGATATTTAGGATGATTTTGAGGCTGATTAAATCTCTCCATAACAGCTGTTGATGTAGTGCTCTGCCTCTGGTCACTACCTGTCAGCACATCTGGTCACTTTCTGATGTTTTGTTTCCTCCTCTCTAGATCCTCGCGTGTGTTGTACTTACTCTCTGATGTTCATCGCTTTATATGAAAGCGTCTGATCAATGAATTGTAGAATGTTTACAGCCTGGTTCAAAAAACAAATAGTGTGATTAGCTCATGTCTCGATCGACACACACTGTTCGGGGGGTGAGTGTTTTGATGACTCATCAGTTTTGATTTGATGAAGGATAAGAGTTATTCACAATAAGGTGTGTAGCTGACATGATTGACAGGTGGTAGAGGTAACGGTTTGTCAGGAGGTTTAAAACCCGCCTCAGCTTCAGCTCTCAGCCTGTCGTTAGGTTGACTGAAAGTTTGACTGAGACAGCATTTCCAGCATGGAGATCGCCATCGATGGGACTCCAGCGCCCCCTGCAGGAACAGATAGGTGACGACACTCAGGCTTCAAACATTCAGATTTACAGTCTATGGTGAGTACAAAGCAAAACAGGAAATTACAAAATACTAAAATAAATGACCAAAAAGAAAAGTCAAGTAAGTTGACAGGTTGTGTCACCCGCCAAGTGGGCGGTTCCTAA